ATTATTATATATAGCCTAATTAATTAGTAAGTGAACTCATAAGTGACTATGACTAAGTGACTTTGTTAACTATGTAACAGTATGATATGATGTAAATGTATGACTAGGTTATTACTACTTAAGTTTAAGTAGGGATAACAATACTTGTACACGCACCGTTCTGCGCATGTCCTAAAATGTCGAAAAAACGTGTTCTACAATATGGCGTACGGCTACACGGTATCTTTGGAAAATTGAATACTATGTCACCTTTGTTTATTAAATAATGCTTTCCTCATCAGTGACATATCAGTTTTTGTGTTCCGGTGATATATTGATTTATGCTACAAGATTTTTTGTATATCACGGACAGTATTATTATAATGACTCGGTTAGTTTATAAATCGCATAAATACTTTTTTACTAGTAAAGCCACCAAAATAAGGTTTAGTTCCACCCAATCTACATTCATTGTAAGAGTTTTTTCATTTTTTGAGTTATTATCGTTGATCTGTCTATAAAAAGTTATGCATCCCACGAAGGAGTGGGGGTATGAAATTGTCATTTTTTTTTATTTTGATCAAGAAGCCGGAAATGGCTGCTATCACTGTGATTCGTTATGTTAAATCCTTAAACGTCTAAATAATGATAAGACGTTTAAAATGAATAATTTTAAGAAAAGATTATAACCAAATAACATAAAAGTTTAATTATGTAGTAACCAATGGTTGGTTTTAAGTTTTATTTATTAATTACGTTAAAAATTGTGTTCGGTACCGGTACACGGTTTATCGTTCTTCATAATTATTGAATCAATATTTAATAGTTTTACAATAGTAATGTCAATAATGATAATCGTTTTTCTCTTATTAATTATTTCAGACAATATTACTAAAATTAGGCCTACATATCATTATCAGTTATAATTATAAACAACTGTTATTATAATCCTATAATAGTCTATATTTAGGCCTAAGCTTAATTTTTCTTAATCTAATTCTATTACTAGCACTACGACAATCAACAACCACACTTACTAATAATAATATATTTTTTAGTTAAGCCTATATATAACAGTTTTATTAAAATACATCAAATTAATAAACAAGAATCAAACAACATCATTGTTGTAATTATATTTTTAGTAGAACATTGAAAAGCAGTACATAGACAATTATTTAATATATCAAATAACATTTTTTAATAAATTAGTCTCATCATCATAGATGATTTTATTAGAGTAATTTTTATTTATAATTACATGCGTTCAATTTTATATATAAAAAAAGACTACTTACCTTTTTATAAATATAATAATTGATTTAAAATGTAAAACAAGCATAATAAAATTATTTAAAATTCAATAAATATGTTATTTTTTTCGTTTTTTCCTGTATAAATAATGATTTTCCCCAATTTTTCTGTTCACTTTTTTCTGAACATACCCACAAATAAATATATACAAAAATAAAAGTCTTGATGTTATATAAAACTTTTGTTGTTTATTGGGTTGTATATTGCATTGGGAATGTCTCCTGAAAATTTGGTAGCATTATCTTTTAAAATCCAAAAGTTTTGGGCAAAATAAGGCAGAAATTTGGAAAGTGGGTCACACGTTTTTTCAGTTAAATACTAAGATAAAGAAGGGGGTTTTAAAAAATCACCAAAAAAATCATAACTCCACTTCTATAAAAGATAGAAAGATGAAATTGGTGTTGTTGTAAAGCTTATAGCTAGCCCTTTAAAATGATGTATCATTCATGTCGATCGGACAATATTTAAATTTTGTGTCAAAGTACCTAGTTTAAGTTGTAACTTAATGAGTCCTGAAATTGAAAGTACTGAAATTAGACGCAGTGATGACTGAAAGTAAGTGTTACTTAAGTTTGAGAACTGAAACCATTGTCATTGTTGAATGAGATTATAGTCACTATAGACTATATATTAAATTTAAATATAATATTATTTATGATATTATTTTATTGGCAGTGTCTACACGTCCGGCGCGCCGGACGTCTATCTCCCGCACTACGTGTCCGGCGACCAAGTCACATGACCGCCGTAACAAAGTGGCGAGAGATATCGTGTCGGTCAGCCTTGTCACGTGACTGCGAATAATTCAAAACTATTGTTAATTTTAAAATCTATTTCTCTACCAAGTAATGTACTGAGTATCTTGAATGCAAATAATAGAAAAAGAAACTTAAGTGAAAGTGGCTTGTAAACATTTTTGTTTAGTTTGTTATTTTTTGTGTACCAGTAATCCATAAAATAAATTAGGGGCCAGTGTGGCAACCAATAAAAGTTAAAGATTTCATTTTAAATTATTTCAATTGCTACAAAATATTTAAAAACTTCTCATGAAACTACTGTTGCTGAGGAACATGATAATATAAATATATACAAAATATTTTAATTAAAATGGGAAGAAAAAAAACGACCCTATCCCCGGTATAGATCCTCAAACATTCCTATCGTCAAGCAACCACTCTACCACAAGACCAGACAAGATGTACTAAACCGAACTACGTTTGGAATTATAAAAACTACTTGCCGTCCGGCCATGTCCGGCGGTCACGTGACAAGTCGCCGGACGTGTATCTTGCGCACTACATGTCCGGCGCGCCGGACGTGTAGACACTTCGTATTTTATTTGAAAGTGACTTTCTTAAAAAACGTAAAAATCATGCTTGTTGTTACTTGGGAGGGAGTTTTTAATATCCCTTTGCACTTTTACATCTTCCTTATTTTAAAATAATTATTAACTGTACTAAATAGTGTTTAAACTGTAAATACTCGTAATAATAGAATTTCTGTAACATGACTGATTATATCAAGTTAGAAGTTTCTTTTAGAAGGACGGGACCGGTCCGGATGATAAACAAAAACTAAGGGAGGATACTCCCATTTGTTGAACTTTGAATTTACTATAAAGGTTATTCCGTGATTACAAAAAAAGTAGGTAACTAGTACCACGACATAAGTTGTAAAGTTAGTTAGATGCCGCCCATCCATTTAAATAAAAAAAGTGCAATCCCGGACGTACCGCCGCCTCTGCACCCCCTCCTACGCCACTGGATAGGATACTTAAATATTTTGGATCTGGAGTTTTAAAAAAGAATAATTTTTACTTGAAAAATTAGCATGCATAATTTTTACTTTGCAGAAGTAGCATGCATAATTTACCGATGTGAATGTCTTTGCATGACTTAGACATCTTCTCATGATCCTATATTTTTTTCAAAAACTCATGATTGCACATTTAAATTACTCTTAACGAAAGAGTAGGTCTTAAACTTAATTATAATAGGCCTATGTCCATGTGTCATAAAAATTCTTAGGTAGTTGTTCTTACAAACTTTATTAAATGTGTGCATGTATGCATATTTGAAAAGTTTAATTATTAAACATTACTGTATGTGAATCTGTACATCTGAAAATGAATGGTTTCATTATGTGATGTATTTTGCGGGGGTATTTACTCATTAAAGTTGGCAAACAAATTGGGAAAAGTTGTGCTTCCTGTCAAATATTCTGGTGTAGGCCCTATGCCAAAATATTCTCGTTGTCTAGGCCTAGGATGTCGATTACTCGCCTGGACTATTATTACCCTTCACAATGACGGTCTCTCTCTCTCTCTCTCTCTCTCTCTCTCTCCCTCTCTCTCCCTCTCTCTCTCCCTCTCTGACTCTCTGATAAATAACACAACGTCCAATGTGCACTAACAATATTTTATTATAATATAATCACATGTTTCCTTTGACATTAGGATAATGTGTACCAGTATAATTTGGATGTCGAGAAGAAGCAATTCACAGGCTTTTAATAAAATATCAGATACCAAAAATGGGTCAATCCATTTAAGAGCAAATCAAACACGAACTCTCCAATGCAAGTTATCTCTCACTCTCTTTTTCCAGTTCACTCATCCGTCCGTGATCATAATCCAGCGCCCGCTCAAAATTGCCTCCCCTTTTCATCACCCCCAAAATCCCATGCACTCGTGACCTGAGAATCGTTCACATTCACTCACAAGCCCATTTGTCACCAAAATCAAAACACACACATTCTCTCTGATTTCATGACCTTGACACTTGTAAGGTTGGGTCTGGAAATCTGCAAAAGCCAAATAGCAACATTTTCAAATCAACAAGAACTTTCGTTGGTTTAGAATCTCTACTTAAAAAAAATAGAATTAGATAATATAATATCATAATATATTTATATGTTAATGGGATGGGGAATCAAATTTCGGACTAGAAAAGTCTTTGAATTTCTCATTCTTTGTTGTTTCTTGTTTTGTATGATTACATATGCTTCTAGCCAAACGTTCTTTTGGTAATCCTATTTTTTCTTTCAAGCTTCTACATATCTTGTTCTACAATTTCCACAACTGAACTTTAGTACACTCGGTTTATTTTGCATGATTTTATTTTTTTAAGCATTAAATTTTTGAAATATTTTTTAAGTGCAGGGCCTTGTCTAATGTTGGTTCTCAGAAATATTTATTTGTTTGTCTTATTTTATTGGCAATTTAATAAATTCGTTTTTCTTTCTTTTTTTTCTTTCTGTTAAAAAAAAAAAAATCAGCGTCAAATTTTGGTGAATTGGTGTTTAATATTTGTAATGATTTCCTTCACTTTAAAAAAAGAAATAGCTGTAAACGTAAAATGAACTTAAACTCAAATAAAACTAATTTTAATATCATTTGGTGCCCATTAAATTAATGTTTAAATTTAATAATAATAGCTAAAACTTTTTATCAGGGTATTATTAATAAACTAGGCTATAATAAACTTTTTCATCTTGAAATTTCCTAATCTAATTAAATTGAAGACCTGTACCTTGTACTAACTCCTTCTTGGATAAGTTCTCTTTTGAGTCATTAGGCTATATTTAATGGCAATCATGTTACTTATTTATAAAATTTAAGTGAGAATCGCTCTCTAATTTAAAAAATGTATTGATCTCGGTTTGATCACTGATTCCGGTAAAGAAAGTGACCAAACATCACCTGATAATAACAATACAATGGCGGCCGTCATAGACGCCGTCAATGCCTTGCTAGCATCCGGCGAACATAAACATATTCTCTCTGTTATTAAAGGTTTTCGCAATGGTGCAGTGTAAGTATAATTTTGCTTAGATTCTATCTACGATTGATTAAAAAGTAACTGTTTTAAAAGCAGTAGAGTAGGGCTTGTTGTCCCATCCTGTACACTCGAGTCCAAGTTCCAAGTCCAAGTACTGCAAGTACTGTTGACTGTTGATAACCAATCTCACTCAATATTCATGTGAAGGTTCTTTGCATGACAGAACCTTCTCAAATCCTGAAGAAATAGTTAGATCACCATGCCACTGTAGCATAGTTGGGTGATGGTAATAGCAATGCCTTCGCCTTCCTCATTCTCTATGATTACAGTATCAGTGTATGTAGTCTACATCTCCATATTGACCATATGCCATATTCCCATATTATTAATTATGATACTCAAACTCAATGACAATGATGAATGAAATATAAATGATGAACGTGGGCCGGATAATCATTTTGTACAATACTTGCAAGCCAGAATGAAATCTCTGGAAAAAAAGGCAAAAAACTAAGTTTAGTGTTCCATGTTAATCATGGGTGACTGGCGTGCAATGTACAAAAAATAAAGACAACCACCATATTTATTTTCTAAAAAAGTTATCAAATAAGGTTACGTTAGAAATGATAGTTACATCACACCTATATTCAAATATCACAAACTAAGCAGCACAAAAGATAAGTGAGATTTGTGAAACTGACGTTTGGCTTTCAAGATTTCCAGATTTCATCAATGTTTGGTTTCAAATTGCTGCATCCAATCAAGAGAATTGTTTTCAAATGTTTATCAATCACTCTGGTTCAATGTGTTGACTTCACATACTTCCAAACTCTGATGCCATACCTGCGGCAAAGATCCTCAGTTTCATAAACTCAACATCAGGTTAGCAGCAGTAAAATCCAAAAAGTTTTCTTTCTCTGTGGGTAAACATACATTTTATCAAGCAAATTCAAGTACCATCGGCGGGCCGGATGAAATGGCCTCGTGGGCCAGATCCGGCCGTAGTTTGGAGACCTCTATCTTAGACCATGACTACATATGTTCACAATACATTATCATGGCTTGCATATATCATATGTGGCATAATAATTTAATATGGCTCTGTAAAGTATTGTCTGACCTGCATCCAGTATAAAATGCGTCTGCGTACATCCATAGGCAAACTACAAACGGACATATAGCTGATGTTCATTTTCAAAGATTTTAGTTGTAGACTTCATAGACATGAATGTAGAATCTGCTGCAGAATACTTGTGTGATTCTCATTTGGTGAAACAGTTTTACTGGCTGACCAGTCTTACCCTTCCGTTGGGATACTACACGCCCAAAACTGCAAAATTTCTTAACAATAGACAGCATAACTGTGTACTTGGTGCCTTCTTATTAAATCTCTCTCATAGTTTGTTCTGCCACCTTTTTCTCACTTGGGCCCCCTTCACAACCAGTTCCGTATGAGTGAAAATAGTGCTCAAATATGAAAATTGTGTTCTCGGTAGAGAATTTCCAACAACTGCCATGACACAACTTCCTTGACACCTCGTGGAGCACCTAGCGGCTGGAGTTATGCACTGTGGACAAGCGCTTTAAGCGTTCAAGATGCTGCAGTTTCAGTACTGTTACTTTAAGCATATAATAGATATTTATATACAGATCTTATGTACCTGTAACTTTGGTTAAAACCCTGAACTAGATAGTTGTAGTTGATTAGATTATACTATAATCTTTAGACCTATTAAATTATATTATAATCTTTAGGCCTATAGACTGGTACAGTCATATGCTAAAGGTAAAATGGTTGAGTAGATGTTTGTGTTTGATCCAGCAAAAGTTAGCTTTGTTTATTTTTTTGCTTGTAACTTAGATTTTATTTTGCTCAATTGGCCATTGTTAACTGCACAACATTTCTCACCATGATCAAACATTTCCTCACCATGAACTGAAGTTTTAATACGTGTAATTAATTAAAAAATTGTATAAAAAAACAAACAACTTAATTGACTCATTTAAGCATATGAGTATCCTGAAATTTGCACGAAATTGTTTAACGGAAGTTTGTTGTTACAGAGTTTTTGATTGAAATGACATTTTTAAAACAGAGAGTTATTGATTTATTTTTAAAAAGTGTTTCTTATGGAAATGTGAAGCAATGGGGAAAATTTAAACTTTTAAAATCAAATTAATTTTTTTTTTTTTTTCCTTTTTTCTCATTATATCTTTTTGATCAAACTTCCATTTGCACAACTTTCCGGTAACCGGCATATTATGTCATAGATCATTGGGTTCAGAGATAGATAAACAGATATTTTAAAAATAAAACCTTAAGAATAATTTAAATTTATAGGCTGATTTACTTTGACTTGACCAACAGTCTCTAATTATTTGTAGAAATTTGTAGATACTGAGCTTTACTTAGTCCATCAATCTGACGCCAATACAAGTTTTTTTTCCTCTCTTGCATTGTTACCATGTACATCATTACAGAATTAGTCATATCAGACCTTTTTTAATGTTTGATGCATCAAAGAGCCTGATGTCTGCATTCGTGCAATCACGCATTGACTACTTATATGCTCTCATGGTGTGTCTTCTGGCTATGCTCCTGGATAAAATTCAAAGAGCACAGAATAATGTGTCTCGCATTGTTCTGCGCAAACTCAAATTTGACCATGCTAAAACACTTATGAGAGAGCTGCATTGGCTGCCGGTCCGTGCTCGCATAGAGTACAAAATTGCAACTCTGTGAGTGATACCGCTGCTTGCATGACCTGGCACCTTCCTATCTCGAAGCTCTTCTGACGCCTTACATACCCACTAGATCACTCCGTTCCTCCGATTGTGGCAAACTCTGGATACTGCGTGTTCGCCTTGAGACCTACAGATGGCGCACTTTTGCTTTTGCACGACCAAAAATTTGGAACGCCCTTCCTGTCGCTCTCAGAAACAGCCAGACTCTGCAGTCTTTCAAAACTGAGTTGAAAACCCATCTTTTTCGCACTCACCTGCTGGGGTGATGTAGTCTACCCCCTTGTTTCCAGCTTGCTCATATTCCTCGATGTAGATTAGCTTGTATTGTCCATAGGCTTATATGTAGATTTTGTATTGTTGCATTTTGTGTTTTAATGTGGAAAAATATAAATTGTCATAGATGGTTGACTTTGTCCAGTGCTTCAAGTCTTAATTAGGGATGAAGGTTGTTTTTGAAATAAACTTTATGATTATGATTATTATTATAGTGCAGAGTATTAGAAATGCTGAAGTTGTTCTGGACATGTAAAAAAAGTTGTATTGTCTGTAGCTGTGTGTTGATGGTAAGCTTTATGAAATGTTCTTTCTGTTCATCTCAGTTAAAATAAACTTTGTTGTCGTTGATCTTTTTGCAGATATGGAGCTAAAATTCGCTTTCCCCATGCACTTGTTATGACATTGTTATTCAGAAATGGCAGGTAAGTAATGTAATATGATCCTTTCAATGTAACCGCTGACACAGTAACGGATTATCATTTCATTAGTGCTATGGGTTAATCAACTGGCTGTCCTCTGTAAGCACACAGACAGACAGTTGAGTGTAAGCACACACAGAAAGTTGAGTGTAATCACACAGGCAGACAGTTGAGTGTAATCACACAGGCAGACCGTTGAGTGTAAGCACACAGGCAGACGGTTGAGTGTAAGCACACAGGCAGACGGTTGAGTGTAAGCACACAGGCAGACAGTTGAGTGTAAGCACACAGGCAGACAGTTGAGTGTAAGCACACAGGCAGACAGTTGAGTGTAAGCCCACAGACAAGACGATTTAGTTAACTGCAGCTAAGCTTAAGAAGAAGGCCCCAAGCCGAATTGATGTCCAGGATTGCCCAAACCACAGCAGCACTAAAGAGGCTTAAGAAAATATCGAGTGAGAAAATATAGCCCCCAGCACCAAAATCAGGCTAAAGCGCTCATTAGTCCTCTTCATTTTCTAGTATGCCTGTGAGTCCTGGACATTAACAGCAGAACTTGAAAGAAAAATAAAGGCGATGGAGATGAGATGTTCATAAGCATTCTTGTAATCTGCTATAGAGACCATATCTCTAACGAACAAGTGAAAGATTTATCAAGCAATTGGGCAGTATGATGATCATTGGTGGCTGTAAAAAAAGTGCAAACTGGAATGGTATGGCCACTTGACGAGAAAACAGTGGCTCACCAAAGAAATCATGCGTGGCACAACGAGAGGAGGGAGAAGACAGAGAAAAAGATGGGAGGATAACATCAAAGAGTGGACGGGACTAAAACTAGGCGATGCTGTGCGAAGTGCAGAAAACAGAGAGGAATGGAGGGGGGTAGTTTTTATGTTATCTGTGGCGCCCAAACGGTTCAAGGACTAAGGGTCATGATGATGATGATGATAATAAAGCTTAAGATCCAGTTTATTTATTCACAGCTTTTACCATATCCAGCTCTTGTTTTAACCTGCCACATAATGGAGACCAAATTGAACATTTTTATGTTAGGTTAAATTTCAAGGGTTTATCTCAAGAAAAAATTGCCATGGTCTATGGCTTTTACAATGCTATATGGGCTTTACAGTGGTCTATGGCTTTTACAATGCTATATGGGCTTTACAGTGGTCTAGGGCATTTACAATGCTATATGGGCTTTACAGTGGTCTAGGGCATTTACAATGCTATATGGGCTTTACAGTGGTCTAGGGCATTTACAATGGTCAATGATATTTACACTTTTATTTGATCTTTTAAAAAAAATGTTTACATTTTAGTTGTTCATCCTTTTTCTTTTTCAGTTTCAAGGATAAAGTAATAGCTATTGTAGAAGCCACCTATACACACTCTCGGAACCTTGCACTTTTTGTTTTTGCCTTTAAAGGCTTAACATCCACCCTGTCCTGGGGTGAGTCCAAGTCCCATCAGCTTCATGCATTTCTCTCAGCATTTTGTGCTGGATTTGTTATATTTGGTAAATATAACAAAGTCAATGAGCAAGTAGGTGTTCATTTTTTATGTTCATTTCCTCTCACCATTTATGTGTTATTAAATAAAGTACGGTTTCATCAATACTCTTTTCTTCCCCATAATAACATCCCCCTTTGACACTGCCGTCTTTGACACTGCACCATGACCTTTAAAAAAATATAGACTGACCTTCCCTAGGATCTTTCATTGCCTCCAATATTTTTCCACCTCCCTTTCTCTCTCCTACATCTAAAGTGTTTGTCAGCTCGAGTGAATTTCTTCTGGTAATCAAGATATATATATGCACACAAAAAATGTTGAAAATCCCGAACACCTCCAAACCTTTTGTTGTGTGCACACAATGGATCATACTCTCCGCAGACTGATTACAATGGATCATACTCTCCGCAGACTGATTACAATGGATTGTACTCTGAAGACATTGATTATTTTTAATTTTTTCCTTCATTAAAATGTATGATGATCCAAAAAAAAAAAAGCCACCTTTCTAACTTAATACACAACAAAAAGCTTTCAAACTACAATCTGTGTAACACAACAAAAAGCTTTCAAACTACAATCTGTGTAACACAACCAAAAGCTTTCAAACTACAATCTGTGTAACACAACCAAAACCTTTCAAACTACAATCTGTGTAACACAACAAAAAGCTTTCAAACTACAATCTGTGTAACACAACCAAAAGCTTTCAAACTACAATCTGTGTAACACAACCAAAACCTTTCAAACTACAATCTGTGTGACACAACCAAAACATTTCAAATTACACAGACTAAAAGAAATGCTTTCAAACTACACAACCTAAAAGCCTACAAACTACACAACCTAAAAGCTTACAAACTACACAGCCTAAAAGCTTACAAACTACACAACCTAAAAGCCTACAAACTACACAACCTAAAAGCCTACAAACTACACAACCTAAAAGCCTACAAACTACACAACCTAAAAGCCTACAAACTACACAACCTAAAAGCCTACAAACTACACAACCTAAAAGCCTACAAACTACACAACCTAAAAGCCTACAAACTACACAACCTAAAAGCCTACAAACTACACAACCTAAAAGCCTACAACTACAAAACCTAAAAGCTTACAAACTACACAACCTAAAAGCCTACAAACTACACAACCTAAAAGCCTACAAACTACACAGCTTTAAAGCTAATCTGATTCACTCACTTATTATTCCCTCAACACATCATTTACGATTTCATTATTTGATCTCATTTAAAAAATATGTTCTATTTTCCTGGTATCGTCACACACACGTCACACACAACAGAAATTCCTTAAATCTACAGATCCTTGACTAAACAAGCTGTGTTAAGCTTTTAGAATGAGAACTTTGTTTTCAAATGTTTCGTTTAATTCTCTTTGGGACCTTTCCCATTTTTGGACTTTGAGGGTCCAGGGTGGTTAATGGTACAACTCTTCACTGGCTTGTTTGACTTGTGACTTGTCCTTAAAAGAGCCTGCATGTTAACTTTGCTGCGTCGTTCATAACATCTTGTTCACCTCGTCTCCGCAGATCAACTTGTATCTTTTATCGAGGGTCATCTACGGCCTGGCCAAGTTGCTGGTTCAGAAAAAAATAATTCAAGAACCCAAGACCAACCTGTTCCCCTGGTTTGCGGCCATCATGTGGGGCACCACCCTGTGGATGTTTGAGTACCAAAAGTCCTGCCTCCAGTCCTCGCTAGTTTCTTCCATGACCTACATTTATAAAGACAGTGACAAGTGGACGAGTTTAAGAGACTTTTTACTGTACAATGAATGAACTTTGTGATCTGTAGTCTTTAATTTATCATTGCCTCGTTTTACAAGGTGTTTTTTTTTTTAATCAGAGCTAAATTCTACTGAAGTTATTTGTAGCCTTTTAGCATTGCCTCACTTCCAGCAATTTTTTAAAAATAGATTTGCTTTGCACATTTTTTATACTGAATTGTTTTCTTTAGAACCCATTAGTTTTTTTCTCTCATTTCATTTTTTTTGTTTTTTTAATATTTTGTTTGGACTTTTCTTAGGCAGACATTTAAGTCTTTGGGATTTTTTCCAGATATTTATTTTGACATCAATTTTCAGATCAAACTTTAAAAAAATAACGTTTGACGGAAATCACACACTGCACTGTGAGAGTTCTCTGCCCTGCAGTTAATTCATATTTAGATAAACACTTGTCATAAAATGTCTTGGTCAACGCATACTTTTCACCAACATCATAGGATGGAATGAACATGCCCCTGCCAAGGGCTTAGGGCTAATAGCAATGAGGGACTATGATCGTGTGCCCCTTTAGCGCTGCAAATGTGCCCACCCCCCCCCACGATGTTAGTCAAGTATCGAGACAATGGTATTATCTTAATACCTTTCACTAATGCGTCCAATAGTAAGACTTCATTTCTTCCCCACAGCTAAGTGCTACTGGCCCTGACATTAAATGTGATTACATATTTAGCTGTTTCGATGACATGAAACTGGTCTCATGAGTCTGGTCTCAAATGAAAGTTTGGGCCATATAGTCTTGAATTATGATAAGCTGAAAAAATAACTTTGGTTTTTCTTTCAGAAGACAGCTGCAGAAATATACAAATATAAGGTCTTGTAATAAACTAAAAAAAAAAACAACAACTCCAGATGGTGGTTTGATGAAAATGTGCTCCCAGCTTTCCTAATGTAGCACTAGATCTGCAGTAAGCCAGCCTGTCCAAATGTTCTATGTAGCACTAGATCTGTAGTAAGCCAGGCTAGAAGCTCAGTCACAGTTTATCATTTCCCTCAGACTACATAGAGCTGTTTCCATTTATAACTCATAATAAATATTTATTGACTTTATAACTCTCATAATAAATATTTATTGACCCGGCCTTGTTGAAGATGAATATTTATTTCATTTATTATTAGAGGATGCTAGATGTTAGATGCTGTTTAAAACAATTAATTGACCAACACACAATTTGTAACCAGGGTTAGTGCCACCTGGGGCATTCTGAGAATTTCCTCCTCCTCCTCTCTCTCCCCCCCCCCCTTACCACCGGCCAGCTCAAAAGAAACTCCATTTGGCAGAAAATGCAGCCCTGCCGTATGAAGAAAAAAGTTCCACCCTGGGTGGACCGCTCCCCAATTCCTACGCCACTGTATCACATACTAATTTAAAGTGGTCCCTAAAAAATGGCATGGTTTAAATCTTTTTTTTTTTTTTTTTAAATAATGTTGTGATAAAGTCTTGTTTTAAAGTTTTACAATAACCAGTGATTCTCAAAGCAATGGGGTCTTTTTTTGTTTGGTTTTTTTTCAATTTTATATCAGGCCTGGATTATTTAAGTTTGTCTGGGGCCCAGGGAGTTTGAAAAAAAATCAAATGTTTATATTCAGTGTCAGTTCCAGAAAGCCTTGATGGTTGATTGAGTGGTAAACAGATGATAGCATTTAACCCTGTGTATAATGTGTCATCACTTAAAATATTTCATGTGTCTAAATTGATGCAACTGTAGTTAAAGGGGAGGAGTATTTGCACAAACCTCTGCAGTGGGCACATCAGAGAGATTGAGATTGGGGGCACATAATTTTAAAGATCAATTTGAAATATGTTTTTTCTTTCTATAAAGCATGTAAACTGAAAAAAGGAAAAATGAGGTTCATTAGGCATTGACATGACTCTCTGGATCTGCCACTGGACATAGTGTACATTTTTGGTTATATATATTTATATATCACATATATTAATAATCAAACGCAGCATTTTTTAAATTTAGATTGAATTATTTATTTCAGATATAATGTGCATATAACAGTATTTACATTATGTTTGTAAAAGTAAATAGCATTTTTGACTAAGGAAACAATGGGTTAAAGGCATTTTTTGTCTTGGGAAACAATGGGTTAATATCATTGTTGACTAGGGAAACAATGGGTTAATATCATTGTTGACTGGGAAACAATGGGGCAATATAATTTTTTACTAGGAGAACAATGGTAAAAACAATTTCCTATAGAATGGATTCAGACCCTATGGGGTTTTATGATAAGGAAACAATCTCTGCAAATATTACATGCACAATTTATGTTGTGTTGCTGTAACCAGTGAGTTCTGAGGCATGTAGTAGCCGGAGGCATTACAACTATCTCAAGACTCCAGGTTTGTGTGATGCCATCAATTTAGTCTTTAAACATTCAACCTCATGGTATGTTTTCATGGTATGATTTCATGGTATGATTTCATGGTATATTTCGTGTTATTCCTCCCACTGTTTCTCAAGCCTTTGACACCTCTTTATATTTCAGCTGATTTTTTTTAAAGGGCTCTGGATCAAATGTTCGTACACACTCGTGTCCTACTTATCACTTAACCTGAGTTAACTGTTATAAAGGTTATCATTATCAATGTTTTAACAAATATCTCAAGGATACTATTTAAGAATTTCTTTGTTAACGTTTGTTTTTGTGTCTAATCGTATTTATTTAGCTCTGGCTTTCTTTTTTTTTTTTTAATTGTTTAAAAATGAAATTTAAAATTATTTTTTTTAATGTAATGAAAGAAATTTATGTTAGTTTCCGCTTATTGTCTCAGACTGACTGTTGATCATGTCTTGTACATACAATAACATTCAACTGGTAACAGAAATTAATAAAACCCGAATCAAAACAAAATTTGTGCTTTCATGAAATGGGGCATGCACACAGGAAAAAAAAAATGCAGATTCAAGATTTAGACACAACTAGAATGGGCCCAAGTTATCAAAGGGGTGAAGTATCAGGGGGCCCCCCCCCCCCCACCAACACTAGTGGGGGGTGTCGGTTTCATGAAATGGGGCATGAACACAGGAAAAAAAAAATGCAGATTCAAGATTTAGACACAACTAGAATGGGCCCAAGTTATCAAAGGGGGGAAGTATCAGGGGGCCCCCCCCCCCCCACCAACACTAGTGTGGGGTGTCGGTGGTCCACGCTATCGGTACATCTCTGCACAGTCTTCAGTTTTTTGTGTTGAGTTGAAATTAAATTTTGTTTCCCTCTAAATGGCTATCTCGGTTCAGTTGTTCAATCAATTTTGTTTTATTTTACAAAGGCTATGTTACACTTTTAGATTGTATGATGATGGATTCCTTAAAGATGTAAAAGTGTTTATCGGCAAGGTTAAGTAGTGACACATTTGGCCACATCCTCTGGTTGGTTGTGGATTTTATCTTTATAAAAGAACAAGATACCAGTAATTTAAGAGAAAACGAAACTTTTTTTTTCCCTTTGAATTGCGTTGGAACCATCATAGAATGAATGGATATTATCTAATGCAACAACTTCTGTGTACCATGTCCCTTGGTTCCTGTCACGTTACAGAGTTACCACATCTTGCGCTCTTCTCCCCGTGTTCTGTTATGTTTTGCAACTTTTAAATAACTTAATTTTTTACATTGTTGAACTTATTTGTATTCATATTTTTTATAAACTCTTAAAGTAAAGGAAAGATTATTTAAATTCTTAGCTGCAGATAACAGTTCCTGAGAGTTGAGGCAAACCTGGGGGTCAGGTTGCAGGTAGCCTTCATCATTTGTGTCTCCATCATTAGTGTCTTCATGCCCTAAATATTGGGAATCTTCTATGGCTAAGTCAGGATGCCTCTTCTCTGTCCTACAACGCTGAGTGTCCTTCACCTTGCTGATATGATTCTTAAGCCCTAAATCAGGAAGTGCTTATAGGTTCCTCCCCCCCACCCTCCTTTTTTATTTTTCCCTCACAGTCCTCAATCCTATTGATATTTATTTTTACCTATATTATTAGGGTGTTAAGAAGGAGAATAAATACATTGTAATCCTGTACCCATAAATAATAGTGCACAAATTGTGAATAGATTGTTCACTTGTCTCACTAAAGGTTACTTATTACAAAGTTTTTATTTCTTGCAAATTAACAATTTTTTTTACTTTTGTTCTATGGTTCATATTTATCCTGGACAACAGACTTTATACGGTTATTGACATAATGCAGAATATTTCAATATTATTTTTGCTTGTAGTTTCACATTCCCGAATGATGGTTAAAACTTTCTATTTAAAATATTTGATCAACTTTTAGGCTAGTTTCCAATTAAGGTAGAAATAAGTTATAAGGATAAACAATCGTTACATTTGCCTTGTGTTTTAGTGCAGTAGTTTCTTAACTAATATTTTACTGTGACCAATATATATATATATATATATATATATATATATATATATATATATATATATATATATATATAAATCTTTGCATAAACTAATCATTCTTTGATAAAGCTTAATAGGCTCGTAAATATGTTAATGTATTTGAACATGCAATAGTGAATTGGAGGACTATAGGCATATTGGACAACTAACCGGAACACGTAATAGTGAATTAGAAGACTATTGCATATTGGATGACCGACTTGTCATGCTTCTAATTTTGGTCATCAAAGCTGAATGAGATAATAACAAATAATCTGCTTGCCTACATTTGTAGAAAGAAATACATCCATATCCCTGCACACTTCTGTAGTTGTTGTTAATACTATCTAAGGAGCATATGTTATGTTGGTCCCATATGTCTGTAGTTGTTGTTAATACTATCTAAGGAGCATATGTTATGTTGGTCCCATATGTCTGTAGTTATTGTTAATACTATCTAAGGAGCGTTTGTTATGTTGGTCCCATATGTCTGTAGTTGTTGTTAATACTATCTAAGGAGCATATGTTATGTTGGTCCCATATGTCTGTAGTTATTGTTAATACTATCTAAGGAGCGTTTGTTATGTTGGTCCCATATGTCTGTAGTAGTTGTTAATACTATCTAAGGAGCATATGTTGTGTTGGTCCCACTCATGTAATTTGATTATAACTGTATGTGCACGTTCATATGTTCAAATTAAACATTATTATAATTATAAATAAAACTGGAATCCAAGTTTTTTCTCTAAAAAATTTTTTTTTTTTTTTTAAATATATTCCTTAGTCTGTTTGTGTTTTCCTTATGAAATGTTCGTATTCTCGTGTTTTTAAAAACATATTAAACAAATTTTTAAAAGAATAAATGTTAGTTTTGTAGACTGGTATAAAAATAAAACAGAAGGTGTGGTTGACCGTATGAGTAGTCTGACTTTATATATAAAAAGGAATTATTATTAAGAGGTGAGACCTTAAAAATTGAAATATACTGTGATCTTGGTCAGGACCTTAACAATTGAAATATACTGTGATCTTGGTCAGGACCTTAACCATTGAAATATACTGTGATCTTGGTCAGGACCTTAACAATTGAAATATACTGTGATCTTGGTCAGGACCTTAACAATTGAAATATACTGTGATCTTGGTCAGGACCTTAACAATTGAAATATACTGTGATCTTGGTCAGGACCTTAACAATTGAAATATACTGTGATCTTGGTCAGGACCTTAACAATTGAAATATACTGTGATCTTGGTCAGGACCTTAACAATTGAAATATACTGTGATCTTGGTCAGGACCATAACAATTGAACTATACTGTGATCTTGGTCAGGACCTTAACAATTGAAATATACTGTGATCTTGGTCAGGACCTTAACAATTGAAATATACTGTGATCTTGGTCAGGACCTTAACAATTGAAATATACTGAGATCTTGGTCAGGACCATAACAATTGAAATATACTGTGATCTTGGTCAGGACCTTAACAATTGAAATATACTGAGATCTTGGTCAGGACCTTAACAATTGAAATATACTGAGATCTTGGTCAAGACCTTAACAATTGAAATATACTGTGATCTTGGTCAGGACCTTAACAATTGAAATATACTGTGATCTTGGTTCAGGACCATAACAATTGAAATATACTGTGATCTTGGTCAGGACCTTAACAATTGAAATATACTGTGATCTTGGTCAGGACCTTAACAATTGAAATATACTGTGATCTTGGTCAGGACCTTAACAATTGAAATATACTGTGATCTTGGTCAGGACCTTAACAATTGAAATATACTGTGATCTTGGTCAGGACCTTAACAATTGAAATATACTGTGATCTTGGTCAGGACCTTAACAATTGAAATATACTGTGATCTTGGTCAGGACCTTAACAATTGAAATATACTGTGATCTTGGTCAGGACCTTAACAATTGAAATATACTGTGATCTTGGTCAGGACCTTAACAATTGAAATATACTGTGATCTTGGTCAGGACCTTAACAATTGAAATATACTGTGATCTTGGTCAACGATACAAACTGGAACACATTTTAAAGAAAAAATATTCGTAATAAATTAAAATACGCCGACCAAAGAGATGGCATTGTGTAAATATTTGGATAAATTAGACAAATTCAGTTGTCTCCCTTTGTAGCATGTGATATATTTGTGCTGAATCATCTCCCTTCGACAATTCAATTGTGTGTATCACGAAGAAGATGGTTGTACAATTTCTTCAGATCTTTGAATAGTTCCTAAAATGTCGTACATTAATTACTTCAGAAACTTTGAGGCAATTTTTTAATAACCCCCCCCCCCCCAACCCTCAATTTTTTTTTTTCAACTGCTGTCAAACTTTCAATGACCCCTGAATTAATTATGTCATAAAATGGGTTACCGGAAAGAAATTTCGTCGACGGAACATTGATCGAACGGAAATTTGGTCGAATCCTTTTTTTCAGTTCACGAGTTACAATTTTCGTCAAATTTCTTTTTGAACGCACTCTACGATATAGTGAAACAAAAGGATGCGTTGGTAGACAACTTTACTTTTTTATCCTATCAGACACGTGACCAGCAAACAGTTGGGTTAAAATTTCTTGTTATTTGAGTTACGTTCGGCAAGAGTCAGCTACCAATGTTGCTACTTTCTTATTCTTCTGTGGGGATAAGATTTGTTTTTTCTTTCCGGTTAGGGTTCCTTCCAACAGATACAGTGAGGCAGCGAGTTTGGTCTCTTTTCTATGGTCATTTTTTTTTAAAAAATGAACGAACATGATTGGATACAAACATTAACATCCACCACCTATATAACAACTACCTTTATGTTAATTTTTTATAAGTTGCGCCAGCCCCAAGCCGCCCCCCCTTCCCCCACCTTATTCTCCAAGACCACCACATCCCCCAAGCCTCACCCCATCTCTCAAACCCACCAATCCAACAAGCCCCCACCCCATTTCCAAGGTCCCCAAACCCCATCACATTCACCAAGCCCCCATCCCACCAGCCACCCCATCCCTCAGCTCGCACACCCAATCCATCTCAGCTGATCCTCATCTCCTCCCCCTACATCATAGTTACGCAACAGTTCCCATGGCAGGCGTGTGACAGGGGCCCGGCGGGGCGGTGGGGGTGGTGGTGCAAAAACCGGATGTTGTGAACTCCCCCCCCCCCCAACGCGAGCCTATGGGTAGTAAATCCAGGTAGCCGTCGTGCTATCTTGGCAGTAACCAGGTAGCCATCGGCATCATGCTATCCTGGCACCGGCGGATCACGTCTCATTTAG